GGGGAGGAGGAGTCTTTTCTTAGGGATTTTCTACAGAATGTTCTTTGCGGTCGTATTGGAAAACGGCAGCTTTCTTTTCGCCACTGTACAGTCTACAGGATGTACTTGTAGTAATTTATTTCGCTAAGTGAAAGAGGGCCAGTCAGTCTTGTTCTGTAAAAACTTTCAACTGGTACAATGTTTCCTTTTTTCCCTAAAGTATAGTTATTTAAATGGGGGGGGGGTGTAAGTATGTTTGTATGTGTGGTGTGAAAAGATGTGCTATTGTGTTTGTGTGTATTTATGTTTGTGTGTGTGTGTGTGTGTGTCTGTGCGTATGTGGGTGTATGTGTGTGTGTGTGTGAGTGTGTGTGTGTGCGTGTGTGTGTGTGTGCTCGGGTGTACTCGTGCGTGCAAGTATTGGATTTGCTTACCTCTATATTGAAAGAAAAAAAACAGCAGTAGGAAATGAAAAAAAATCTGTATGAAGATGTAAAGGAGGGGGGGCTTCGGAAGAGTCATGTGTGTAAAGAATGTATACCTCACTTTTTTTTTTTTACGGATGATCCTTATTGTGTTCCGGCTGGGTGCACTGAATTCGATCCCGGCAACAGCTGTTGTGTGAGAATAAATGTTGTCCAGACCCCGAAGTTTGGAGCTTCTAGTGTATCTTCTCAGTTCTGTGCTTCACTGTCGGTGAAGCAGAGAAAGGATTTTGACATAGGAACGTTGTGTTCCGACATGGGGGCACTTATATTCGCTACGAAAAAGGCTGTGTGTGATCAGTTTTGGGGGGATAATCATGATGCTTCTCCGAAAAGGTGTGTAGTTGTTTTATTCAATTACGTTTATTGTTTTCAATCATCATCGTCGTTATGATTATCATCATAGCTGTTGTCTTTATCATAACATCAGTATTTAGTCTTTTGTTTTCTATTTAACGCTGCTGTTATTGGTGCTGCTGGTGTTATTGTTGCTGCTGCTGCTGTCGTTATTATTATCGATATTTTGTCTCACATGAAGAAGTAACGTCAGCTCAGTTTCGATTTTGACTTTTTGATTGTGACAGAAATCCATAATGAGCTACAGTAATACTACTCCTGAAGCGCGTGACTCACTCAAAATTATTTACCCCTTTGATTTTCCAGCTTTGCTCATTACGTTAACGACACTTTAGACTCGTTTTCAATGTCGACCAATAATCATCCATCGCCAATTACCGCTTTATTTTTGCCGTCTTATTAACTGTCATTTAGCTTGGATGTTGCTACTGAATATTATTGGGGATCTCTTTCTTTTTTCATTAGTTTCATTAGTGAAGACCTGTTTGAGGCTTTCAGTAGATTTATTACGTTTATTATATGTAACAGTAGCATACAGAGAGAGTCAGACAATTGTGTTTGTTTGCTAATGATGTCGATTGCGGACGAACTGGTTGAGTGGGAGAAGTGTTTTTTATGGATGTTTAAAGTAAACTTGCGTCCTCCAATTATGATATTATACGTTGAAGTTTTTAAAAATATTGAATTTGTTTCGCAATAGTCAAAAGAAAGATGGAAATCGCTGCCAAAATTATATCATAAACTACGTCTTTGAGTCGTACATGGCGGGGGCTTTATGTATCAGAAACATTGCACCCGTTTCACTTGGTTTCTGATCAGACTTTTCGTTTTTAGTAGTGAGTGAGTTCAATTTCAGACTGGCATGTTTTTAAAAAAAATGTCACATATTATTTATTCAACGCATTTTGTTCTTACCATTGTGGGAGTTGTTTAGCGCGATTCAGAACCAGCTATAACAAGAGGGTAACAGAAATCAGCATGATTACGTTACACAGAATCTCGATGGACGCATAAATGTTATCCGTGATGAGGCATACAAACAACAGAAACGCTGGCGGACAGTCAAATAACGAAACATCGTGCTCGCGCGCATGCAAGAGGAGGAGGAGGAGGAGAGAGAGAGAGAGAGAGAGA